AGGTAATTGGGTTTATTTATCCTTGATCGCGGGATTACCTCCGTAAAGCTGATGTCTTGCTCTCTGACTCACGCACCTACACCCCCTCTCGTTCCAACCCTCTTGATCGCATCAAGAGAACTTTCAAACAAAAAACTAAGGACTCTCTCCGACCTCTGTCCTCCTGACTTTGACCTTGTTCAAAACGGTTTCGTGTCATCTGTCCCTCTCTTCCCTTTTTCCCTATGGCCTTCCCAAAAACTCATAAACCTGATATTCCTCTTCGTCCTATCATATCCTCTAGAAGTTCTGTCTCTTATTCTCTTGCTTCTTGGCTGGCCAAAACCCTCACTCCCTTTCTTGGTAACTTTTCTCCCTGCCCACCTCCGTCACTCTCAAGACTTCATTGAACGGGTTCGCTCTCTCTCCCAACCTGTAAGATGCTTAGTCTTGACGTTGAGTCCCTCTTTACCAATGTCCCTCTTGATGATGTCCTTGATTTCCTTAGAGAGAAGGCCCATGAAGGGTTTTCTTCATCTTTCCCTATCCCCACTGATGTCTTTCTTGATCTGATCCGCCTCTGTGTGGGCTCTAACTCCTTTTCCTTCCAAGGGAAAAATTATTCCCAAACCTTTGGTGTCGCTATGGGCTCTCCTCCCCTCTCCTGTCCTTGCTAATCTTTAACATGGAATACTCGAGACTGTTCTTCTTCCTAAACCCCCGATGTGCAAAACCCTTTACTCTGGCTCCGCTATGTGGATGACATCTTTGCTCTGTGGCCTCATGACTCCAGTCTCTTCCAACCTTTTCTTGAAGCTCTTTTAAAAATCTTGCCCCTTCCATTAAGTTTAAAGCTGAATGGGAATCTAATTCCTTACTTCCTTTCCTTGATGTCCCCTGTCCACCGCTCAGATACAGGTTTTTTTTTTCCTTTTCCGTTTACCCGTAAACCTATTGCACAGTGGCATGTACATTCACTACTTTTCGTATCATGCTTCCCCTGTCAAGAAAAGTGTTCTTATCTCCCTCTTTCTCCGTGCCCTCCGCATCTGTGATCCTCAGTTCCTTCCAGCAGAAATTTCCACTCTTTATAATTCGTTCTCCCCGTCTTGGCTACCCTTTCCCATTTCATAGACTCTGCCCTCTCACGTGCTAAACGCAATTTCTTCTCTCCCAAACTCTCTACTCATGGGAACTCTTTTATCCTCTGCTTCCCTACATTTTCCGGTCTTTCTAATCTCCCAAAAATTCCTTCTCCGTCCCTTAGACATCAAGCTTACCTTTCCCCCAGACTAACACAACCCCTTTCGCACTAATCCTCGTTCATACCCCTCTCCCCCTCTACAGATGTTCCTGGTGTCTACTCTATTTCTTGCTCCTCCTGTCCTCTTCAATACTTTGGAAAACTGGTCAATCTCTTTCTGACAGACTTAGGGAGCACAAAAATAGTGTTAGGCTTGCCGACACTAACAATGCTCTTTTCTGTCACGTCAGAGATCATAGCCATCCTATTGACTGGTCTTCTGCTAAAACTGTCTTCCCTACTTCCAACTCGAACAGTCGCCGTTTAGTTGAATCCTCTCTAATACACAACTTTCCTTGTATGAACCTTAGCCCTGGGTTCATCTCTGTAGATGCCTTCCTCTCCCACTACATTGTAAAATGCTCCAAACTTCAGAACACCCGTGACTTAACCTGAATCCTCATTTTTTTTTTTTTTTTTTTTTTTTTTTTTTTCCATTCTCCTTTTTCTTCTTCCTCATCCCCTTTCCTCTCTCCTTTCTCCTCTGGGTTGTCTTTCTCTCTCCTGTTTTGTGTTTTGTTCCCTTCTTTATTTTATTTCACCACTTCCCCTTTCACGCACCTCGGGGCGCTTGCCCCTCCCTCTGTGGGTTTCTAGCTCTCTTGCAGTGCTCCCCCCTTCCTTTGTATTTGACTGGGTTCTCTTCCTTATTTTCCCACTTCTACCACTACCACTACTACTACCTCTTCTCTACTACATCTACTGATGAAATTAACACATGTGCGGCGTCTGGTTTTCTTTGTTGTGGACGTTTTGCCATCCAGTGGCTGGCTGGATGGCGAAACGTCTACGGTGGGGATGCCCGGGGGTTGTGCGTGTGTCATTTCATCCTGTCGGTATTATATACAATTCTTGTACTTTCTACTACTACTACTACTACTACCACTACCACTACCTCCACCTCTTCCTGCCTATATATAGCCGTCCTGCTCCTCCTCTGTTAGTGTGACTTTGTCAATGGTCCAAGTCGGACCGAAACGTCGTCGTAAGCTTCTGTCTTTTATGTGCGGGTTATTTGTGTATCGTTCCAGTCACGGTATTGTGCCTTTTTGTTATTTAGGCATTATACTTCCCATTTTCAGGACTCAAGTCCGGCTATATAAAAATAACCAGTTTCCCTGAATCCCTTCACTAAATATTACCCTGCTCACACTCCAAACAGGCTCGTCGGTCCCAAATACCATTCGTCTCCATTCACTCCTATCTAACACAACTCACGCATGCTTGCTGGAAGTCCAAGCCCCTCGCCCACAAAAACCCCCTTTAACCCCCCTCCCTCCAACTTTTTGAGGATGACCCCTACCCAGCCTTTCCCTTTTCCTACAGATTTAAAAACGCTCTCCAGTCATTCTACTTTGATCCATTCTCTCTAAATGACCAAACCACCTCAACAACCCCTCTTCAGCCCTCTGACTCATACTTTTATTAACTCCACACCTTTTCCTAATTTCCACATCACATCCGAATTCTGTGCATAACATTTACAACCACACATTGCCCTTAGACAGGACATCTCCACCGCCCCTTGCTGCAGCATTTACAACCCAAACTTCACACCCATATAAGAGTGTAGGTACTACTATACTTTCATACATTCCCTTCTTTTCTTCCACAGATGACGTTTTTTTGTCTCCACATATACCTCAATGTACCACTCACCTTTTTTCCTTTATCAATTCTATGATTAACCTCATCCTTCATAAATCCATCCACTGACACATCAACTTCCAAATATCTGAAAACATTCACTTCTTCCATACTACTCCTCTCCAATTTGATATCCAATTTTTCTTACCTAAATCATTTGATACCCTCATCACTTTTCTTATTATTATTATTATTATTATTATTATTATTATTATTATTATTATATACTTCCACATATCCAAAACTTTGCCAGGACCCATAAATACCTTGTATATACAGTGGACCTTCGACTAACGATATTAATCCGTTCCTGAGAGCCCATCGTTAGTCGAAATTATGTTACATCGAGTTAATTTTCCCCATAAGAAATAATGGAAATCAAATTAATCCGTTCCTGACACCCCAAAGTATTGAAAAAAAAAAAAATTACCACATGAATTAATTTTAATACACACAAACTTAAGAAGACATGTACAATTACATGACACTTACCTTTATTGAAGATCTGGTGATGATTGATGGGATGGGAGAGGGGAGTGTGGATGGTGTGAGTGTTTAGAAGGGAAATCCCCTTCCATTAGGACTTTGAGGTGTCTAGTCCTTTTCCAGGTTACTTCCCTTCTTTTAATGCCATTAGGACCAGCTTGAGAGTCACTGGACCTCCGTCGCACAACATATCTGCCTATAGAGCTCTGTACCTCCCGTTCCTTTAAGACTTTCCTAAAATGGGCCATAACATTGTCAGTGTACAGGTTGCCAACACAGCTTGCAGTAGCTGTGTCAGGGTGATTTTCATCAAAAAAGGTTTGCACTTTAAGCCACATTGCACACATTTCCTTAATCTTTGAAGTAGGCAACTTCCTCAATTTCTCTATCCCTCCACCGGAGCAGTTTCCTCAGGTCTTGCCTCTTGCTGTTGAAGATGATCTTGCAGCTCATCAGTGGTTAGCTTCATCATTGTCGTCCTCCACTAACTCTTCCACATCCTCCCCACTAACCTCCAACCCCTTAGCAATGATCTCTTCTTCATATCCATAGTAATTCTCACCCTTTTGCTGTAGGTTGGCACTAGAAGCTTTCTTGGGGCCCATCTTGACTTATTTTGCAGGTGCAATCACTAAAAACACTGTGATATGAAAATGTTCCGATTGTATGTTTGGATGGGAACCCCCGCGGTGGCTGGCTGGCTTGTAAACACTGGCCACAAGTGGACGCGTCTCGAACGGAACGAATCGTGTTGGTCGTGTTTTTTAGCGCTAGTCGAGGCAAAATTTTTGCGTTAAAATGTATCGCTAGTCGGATTTAATGTTAGACGATGCCATCGTTGGTCGAGGGTCCACTGTATTCCAAGACAATAGTAAATGGCCAAGGCAAGTGTAAATGTCCACCTGTCAGTGTGTTTGCAATAATTTGATTACAATTTCAGTATCTAATAGTGTCAGAACAAAGATAGGTTATGAAATGACAAGAACTACAATAAATTGTAATTATCAGAACATAAAAATAGAAAAAAGGTATCGGCAACACTTCTGCAAGCAGCAGGACTTGATGTTGCTGTCACGTGAGCATCCAGTGCCAACATCTCTGCCTCATATCTCTAAGTACTGGCCCAAATTTTTTTTTATCCTATAACTCCACCTCGGTGGGATACAGCCGGTGTGTTGAAAGAAGAAAGATAATTTTAGAAAAATGTGCTCTTTATTTTCATTAAAAAAAAAAACGACTTTTTTTATTTTTCAAAATATTCGGGGCACTGGGGTAGTGAACATATACTATATACTTTTGGACCGTTTACGGGTTAAAAAAATAAATTATTTTTTAAAATATTTGGAGCACTGGGCAAGAAAACGTAGATCTACGTTTGGACAGGTAAGGGGTTAATGGACAAGTTGTTGAAGTGTGAGCAGACTTGCATCCTGGAGGTGGGAAGAGAAGTACCTGCACTCTGAGGGAGTGGGGATGCTGCAGTTGATGTTGTAATCTGATTGTAATGTAATCCCACTTGTGGAAAGATGGCAACTGAGTGAATGGGAGACAGCAGAGAAGTTAAAGAATAAATTCTACCAAGAAATTTAAATTATATTAACTATGAGGAAAAAAAGTGTCTAAATAATCTTACTGCAAAACTTGCTCCAGCAGTTCGAGCAAACCACTTTGGAGGGTTTCTCAGTCTAATGGGTTGTGGTGTGGCTCCCTGAGGAGCAACAGCAGGCATTTCCATTCCTGGGAATGAGTCTGCTATCTGTGAAAACTGTCAAAAGCCAAATCAGTTAAATGCATGATTATGCATCTATTAAGTATATATGCATACATGTAATGCAAGACGAGCTACGGAGAAAGGGAGGGGAAGGGGGGTGGAAATGCATCATGTGTATGCAATATATTGTATACAGTATGTCATGTTATATACTTAAGTTTCATCCACTATCTTGTATACTATACATTTCTATACATGTATTTCTCTATACAGGTCGGCCATCACTAATCCGGCAATGTTGGGACCTGTAGTGTGCCAGATTAGTGAGTTTGCCGGATTACAGAATGGTTAGAATACACTTAATTAACCTATCAATAGAGAGACTTTCATCACTGCTTTCTCCTTGACTGGCTTGCTACTGTGGAATTACAATCATCTGCACAATTTCTGAGTCATTATAACGAAGAAATTTGAGTCAGTAAAATGATGAAATTTGAAATTATGCTAGCTGAAATTAGTGCCGGATTACTGGTGGAACCGGATAACTGACTGCTGGATTAGTGATGGCCGACCCTATAATAAAAATAAGCAAATAGAAAATAGTACAGTACTTACTTTATCTGACTGAGTGGGAGGCTGACCACTACCTAACAAGGAGTATATGCTAACACAGCCATCAACAGATGACACAGCAACCAAGGAAGGATCCCGCTGACCCCAGTCCATGTCAAAACACCACTGGTTATAGGAAGGAAACTCCCCAACAATTTCTAAGCCACGTTCTGTTGCATTTGGATTCCACACACAAATTCTGAAATTTAAGATTAAGAAACCATACAATACTGCAAATTTAAACTGCAAGACTTGCTCATAAAACTGAAGAGGTGATAAAAACTGATTAGTACAGATAACTTGTTCAATTCAAACAAAATATTTTATACTCTAAACTAATATATCTATTTCTGACAAACACATGCACTACTCCTCTCCTCCCCCCAGAAAATCCTTTACTGTAAAACAAAGGTTAATTTCACAAAAAACTGCAATGTTATCCTTTCATGTTCACCAAAAAACTGCTGCTAGGGATCATTATTTTCAACTTTTACTATATCAACTTAATACAAGTCAAACAAGTAACAAGGAAAGCTGACAACGATGGTATATTCTAATGAATATATGATATCTCTCATTACAATGATAAAATATCTAATCAATATTTAATTGTAGAAATAACTTTTTAATTTACAACTGAAACTGTCTCAAATTCATAGCAACCCTCTTGCTTCACACAATGAGTGTCCACAGTTCAGTCCCTGTTCACCTAACAGTAAACAGGTACCTGGGTGTTGGTCAAATGGTGAGGGGTCACATCCTGGGAGACAAGATTGAAGGACCCCATTGGAAATCAGACAGTCCTCAATGATGCACTGACTTTCTTGAGACCTGGCAATGGACTGGGCCACAGGGTCGTTGACCCCCAGGTATACAGGCAGGCCCCCCACTTTACAGCGCTTCACTTTACAGCGTTTAGTTAATGTAGAAGTTTCAATTACACCCATTCCTTCAGCCCTTCCTACAAAAAATAATTCACCACTAAGAAAAATATTTTAAGTAATGTGAGCACTATATGTGCATTTTTTAGGCCTAGTTCCTATCATCAATATATGATAGTGTAAACATGTTATCAAGCTTTATATGCATTTGAAAGTGTAATAAGCAATTATCACTTATAGCAGTAAGCCCGGAACCTAACCTGCTGAAATAAGTTGGCTATTCTGTACTTCAGGAACAGTGCTCGACACCCCTGAGAGAAATGCATCTCTTTTCCTTGGTATGAATGCCACATAGTGCTCCTTTTTCCCTCTTGCAAAATAAAATTGTCACTCACTATGCCTTTTTTTTTCTTTTCCAAAATGCAGTTATCACTTACTTGTTATCCTTTGCTGCAGTTATCAACAAATTTCCATCATGAACACACCAAGCAGTTTTCACAATGCCACGCTGGTGCCCCTCCAGTGTCTTGAGAGAAGAAGTAGCATAACGAAGATCCCAAACTTGAGCCCATGGTGTAGTGTCATCATCACTGGCTAGTAGTAACTGTGTTGCCACACTGGGGTTCCAGATGATACTGCTTGCTTTCATCTATAAAAGCAAAGTAATTTTAAAACTCTATTTCCTCTTATTTTACATTGTTTTTCTTTCAATATTTGGCATAAGAAAACTACAGCAATACACTCTATTTTACTTTTACTGATCAATTTTCAAAACAAACCCTTTATATATTCTTTACCTGCAGATACAGTACTTTTAAAATTATTAAACAGATTAAAGGGGGGAAAGTGTCCAGTAATGCTGACTGATTAAAACTATATGTACAAAGATTTACAGGGAGACGTACAAAAATATTTAAATTAGTTAAAAGACAGAAGAGTAATTTTGTTTGCCTTTTGTGATATGTATACAGTTAAGTGCCTTTCCTTCATTGCAACAATAACAGAACTCTTTCAACAAATCATTCGTATGTCATGAAGCAGGGTGGACCCAAAAAGAAAAACTAAAGTTTCTCTTTTGAAATTTAGTAATATATACAGTATTAGAATGTGGGGCAGAAGTTTGTGGTTATGGGAGGGTGGGGGCAGGAGGAAAGGGGAGCATTGGGGGAATGATGAACTAAAGGTGTGATAAAAGAGAAAAAGGTAGCTTATGAGAGGTTTTACAAAGCAGAAGTGTTAAAGAAGACCCGAGTATATGGAGAGAAAAAAGAAAGGTAAAAATGGGGGGGGAAAGAGTGAAAAAGGGAGAGCAATGATAGAGTGGGAGAGGCCCACTATCAAGAAATTTTAATGAAAATAAGAAAAAATTTTGGAGTGAGTTAAACAAGTTAAAAAAGCCTAGGAAAGTATCGTTTTGTCAGTTAAAAACAGAGTAGGGGAGTTAGTAGATGGGGAGATGGAGGTATTAGGTAGATGGCGAGAATATTTGAGGAACTTTTAAATGTTAAGGAAGAAAGGGAGGCAGTAATTTCATGCACTGGTCAGGAGGTATACCATCTTTTGGGAGTGAAGAAGAGCAGAATGTAAGTGTGGGGGAGGTACGTGAGGCATTATGTAGAATGAAAGGGGAAAAAACAGCTGGAACTGATGGGATCATGACAGAAATGTTAAAAGCGGGGGGGGATATAGTTTTGGGGAGGGGTTGGTACTTTTGTTTAATAAATGTATGAAAGAGGGGAAGGTACCTAGGGATTGGCAGAGAGCATGTACAGTTCCCTTTTATATAAAGGGAAAGGGAAAAAAAGACTGTAAAAATTATAGAGGAATAAGTTTACTGAGTATACCAGGAAAAGTGTACAGTAGGGTTATAACTGAAAGAATTAGAGGTAAGACAGAATGTAGGATTGCGGATGAGCAAGGAGTTCAGATTGGGTAGGGGAAAGTGTAGATCAAGGTTTACAAATTTAAAGCATAATGTGAACAGTATTTAGATAAAGGTAGGGAAGTTTTTATTGCATTTAAAGGATTTAGAAAAGGCATATGATAGAGTGGATAGAGGAGCAATGTGGCAGATGTTGCAAGTATAAAGGAAATGTTTGGTAAGTTATTAAATGCTGTAAGGAGTTTTTATGAGGATAGTGAGCTCAGAAGAAGAAAATTGTCCAAAGTGGGAAGTCTGAAGTGCGTGGATGTTTGCAAATGATAAGAAAGAGATGATTGTGGATGTTATGAATGAGAAGAAACTGGATTCCTGGCTTTAAGTGAAACAAAGCTGAAGGGGGTGGGAGAGTTTCAATGGAGAGGAATAAATGGATTAGGTCAGGGGTTTCAAATAGAGTTAGAGCTAAAGAAAGAGTAGCAATAATGTTGAAGGATAAGCTATGGCAGGAAAAGAGGGACTACAAAAGCATAAATTCAAGGATTATGTGGAGTAAAATAAAGATTGGATGTGAAAAGTGGGTTATAGTAAGCGTGTATGCACCTGGAGAAGAGAGAAGTGTAGACGAGAGAGAGAGATTCTGGGAAATGTTGAGTGAATGGGTGGGGAGTTTTGAATCAAGTGTGAGAGTAATGGTGGTTGGGGATTTCAATGCTAAAGTGGGTAAAAATGTTATGGAGGGAGTAGTAGGTAAATTTGGGGTGCTAGGGTAAATGTAAATGGAGAGCCTTTAATTGAGTTATGTGTAGAAAGAAATTTGGTAATAAGTAATACATATTTTATGAAAAAGAGGATAAAAAATATACAAGGTATGATGTAGCACGTAATGAAAGTAGTTTGTTAGATTATGTATTGGTGGATAAAAGGTTGATGGGTAGCTCCGGGATGTACATGTTTATAGAGGGGCAACTGATATATCAGATCATTATTTAGTTGTACTACAGTTAGAGTAAGAGGTAGATGGGAAAAGAGGAAGGTGGCAACAACAAGTAAGAGGGAGGTGAAAGTGTATAAAACAAGGGGAGGGAGAAGTTCGGGCGAGATATAAGCGACTATTGGCAGAAAGGTGGCTAGTGCAAAGATGAGTAGTGGGGGGTTGAAGAGGGTTGGAATAGTTTTAAAAATGCAGTATTAGAATGTGGGGCAGAAGTTTGTGGTTATAGGAGGGTGGGGGCAGGAGGAAAGAGGAGTGATTGGTGGAATGATGAAGAAAAGGGGTGTGATAAAAGAGAAAAAGGTAGCTTACGAGGTTTTTACAAAGCAGAAGTGTTATAAGAAGAGCAGAGTATATGGAGAGTAAAAGAAAGGTGAAGAGAGTGGTGAGAGAGTGCAAAAGGAGAGCAGATGAAAGAGTGGAGAGGCACTGTCAAGAAATTTTAATGAAAATAAGAAAAAATTTTGGAGTGAGTTAAACAAGTTAAGAAAGCCTAGGGAAAGTATGGATTTGTCCGTTAAAAACAGAATAGGGGAGTTAGTAGATGGGGAGAGGGAGGTATTAGGTAGATGGCGAGAATATTTGAGGAACTTTTAAATGTTGAGGAAGAAAGGGAGGCGGTAATTTCATGCACTGGCCAGGGAGGTATACCATCTTTTAGGAGTGAAGAAGAGCAGAATGTAAGTGTGGTGGAAGTACGTGAGGCATTACGTAGAATGAAAGGGGGTAAAGCAGCTGGAACTGATGGGATAAATGACAGAAATGTTAAAAGCAGGGGGGGATATATGTTTGGAGTGGTTGGTACTTTTGTTTAATAAATGTATGAAAGAGGGGAAGGTACCTAGGGATTTGGGAGAGAGCATGTATAGTCCCTTTATATAAAGGGAAAGGGGACAAAAGAGATTGTAAAAATTATAGAGGAATAAAGTTTACTGAGTATACCAGGAAAAGTATACGGTAGGGTTTATAATTGAAAGAATTAGAGGTAAGACAGAATGTAGAATTGCGGATGAGCAAGGAGGCTTCAGAGTGGGTAGGGGATGTGTAGATCAAGTGTTTACATTGAAGCATATAAAGTGAACAGTATTTAGATAAAGGTAGGGAAGTTTTTATTGCATTTATGGATTTAGAAAAGGCATATGATAGAGTGGGTAGAGGAGCAATGTGGCAGATGTTGCAAGTATATGGAATAGGTTGGTAAGTTACTAAATGCTGTAAAGAGCTTTTATGAGGGTAGTGAGGCTCAGGTTAGGGTGTGTAGAAGAGAGGGAGAATACTTCCCGATAAAAGTAGGTCTTAGACAGGGATGTGTAAAAATCACCATGGTTGTTTAATATATTTATAGATGGGTTTTAAAGGAAGTAAATGCTAGGTGTTCGGGAGAGGGTGGGATTAAATTTGGGGGAATCAAATTCAAAATGGGAATTGACACAGTTACTTTTTGCTGATGATACTGTGCTTATGGGAGATTCTAAAGAAAAATTGCAAAGGTTAGTGGATGAGTTTGGGAATGTGTGTAAAAGGGAGAAAGCTGAAAGTGAACATAGAAAAGAGTAAGGTGATGAGGGTATCAAATGATTTAGATAAAAGAAAAATTGGATATCAAATTGGGGAGGAGTAGTATGGAAGAATTGAATGTTTTCAGATACTTGGGAGTTGACGTGTCGGCGGATGGATTTATGAAGGATGAGGTTAATCATAGAATTGATGAGGAAAAAAAGTTGAGTGGTGCGTTGAGGTATATGTGTGAGTCAAAAAACGTTATCTATGGAGGCAAAGAAGGGAATGTATGAAAGTATAGTAGTACCAACACTCTTACATGGTGTGAAGCTTGGGTGGTAAATGCAGCAGCGAGGAGACGGTTGGAGGCAGTGGAGATGTCCTGTTTAAAGGCAATGTGTGGTGTAAATATTATGCAGAAAATTCGAAGTGTGGAAATTAGGAAAAGGTGTGGAGTTAATAAAAGTATTAGTCAGAGGGCAGAAGAGGGGTTGTTGAGGTGGTTTGGTCATTTAGAGAGAATGGATCAAAGTAGATCTATAGGGGAAGGAAGGCGGGGTAGGGGTTTTCCTCGAAAGGGTTGGAGAGAGGGGGTAAAGGAGGTTTTGTGGGCAAGGGGCTTGGACTTCCAGCAAGCGTGCATGAGCGTGTTAGATAGGAGTGAATGGAGACGAATGGTACTTGGGACCTGACGATCTGTCGGAGTGTGAGCAGGGTAATATTTAGTGAAGAGATTCAGGGAAACCGGTTATTTTCATATAGTCGGACTTGAGTCCTGGAAATGGGAAGTACAATGCCTGCACTTTAAAGGAGAGGTTTGGGATATTGGCAGTTTGGAGGGATATGTTGTGTATCTTTATATGTGTATGCTTCTAAACTGTTGTATTCTGAGCACCTCTGCAAAAACAGTGATAATGTGCGAGTGTGGTGAAAGTGTTGAATGATGATGAAAGTATTTTCTTTTTGGGGATTTTCTTTCTTTTTTGGGTCACCCTGCCTCGGTGGGAGACGGCCGACTTGTTGAAAAAAAAAAAAAAAATACAGAAGGGGTTACTAGCCCCTTGCTTCTGGCATTTTAGTCACCTCTCACAACATGCATGGCATATGGAGGAAGAATTCTGTTCCACTTCCCCATAGAGAATAACAGAAATATTGGAAATCAAGTACCCAGCGGATTTTGTTCTTTTATTTCTGAAATTCATTAGTTTTAAACTAATTGTTTACAACTATAGTATCTAAAAATTACTCTTAACCATATTCTGCCTCATAGCCAAATTAAGGAAATTAATAAAATATCAAATTACCATCTTTTTTGCTTTTATTTTTAAATTTAAAAAATTGTGTTTCCTTTAAAACCACCTTACTTTTAAAATGAAACTTACCCTTGAAACCGTGTCAGAGATAGTCATGATAGAGGTTTGTTTTCTAAGGTCCCACACAACACAGTGTCCAGCACAGGTAGATGCAAAGATATGCTCCACTTGTCTAGTAAGAAAATCAAAATAGGCACATGTTCAAAATTATTAAATAACTGATAAATTATTAGGTTTATGCAACATTCATTTTCCATAATTCAAATGCCTAAACCAACAGAAGCCTCTGAAAGTCATCAAATTGTTCTACCTGAAGCACATACAAATAAGATTTATCATAATTCAAGCACAAAAAATACTCAAAAGATTGATTTAGTCTGAATTTGAAGCTTTCTCTGAGAGTAACGGGCTGGAAAATTTAACAAGAAAAAA